GGGACACTATCTTACATTAATGAACATTTCCAAGCAGAAACTACTGCTATAGAGTCAGATATTCCCTGAAGGGAAAAAAAATAAAAGAAAAAATATATATATTCAAAGGCTGTATCTTAACAGATCTGATAACAAGATACTACACTAATTTCATTATAAAAAAATAAAAGAATAAAAAAATCTGCATAAAATTGCATAACAGATAAGAGAGGCTTCAAAATATTCAAAGACTAAGCAGATTTATACTAAGACTGTATTCTTAATTGTTCATATGGTCACCAAAGTTAAACTTATTTACTCAACACCAGCTGAAATACTATTGACACGTTACTTGTCTGAGCATTAAACACCAAATAAACTTAACCCTGCCTTTATTAAATACTCAGAAAATAACATTCATAGTCCTCCAGTCCAGTCTGTTTTGTTCAGAGAGAAAACAACTTACTATTGCAGTACAAACTGCAAACCATGTAAATACGATAACAACGTGAATTTCAATATGCTGTAGAAGTATGGAATCAGATTTTCCAGTCTTTCTAAAGCAAAAAGTGATGCATAAACAGAGCTGAAGAAAAGTAGCAGACCAGACAAATCAAGTAGTGAAATTAAGAGAGTCACAAATTGAGGATGAAACTCTAAATGCCACCCTCCTTGGAACATGCATTTTGTGATCATGTAATTACAAACCCCAATAAATGCCCGACTCATTTATTAGAGGATGGAAAGCTCTGGGGATGATTCAGCATTCTGTCAGAGGGGCTCATCTCCACCATGCCATCAAGCTCACTGCTGTAATTTTGTGTGTCCCAGCTTCCAAATGGGCAATTTCAAGGAACAAATGGTTTGTGATTAATACACATTAATATTACTCTGGATTCCATTTCTTCTTCTGTTGAAGAGTTCTCGCATAACAGTAAACAATTCACAAACCTTTTACGGGTTGCCTCTATTTAAAAGATAATTGATTTTTCATTAGGCCTTAATTGTGGTAATTTATTTTGATGCTAAGTATTAATTTCTTCATGGCTCAGCTCCATTAAAATAAATAGCTTCCAAAACCATAATATGGAATAAAGGCTGGAGGCACTAAGATTTTATGATGAAAGTTACAAAAGACCTTGTGAAAGGACAGTTTTCAAAACAAAATCTGAACATCATGTAGAAAAATGTTCAACAATAAAAACAATTAAGTAGTTATTCATTACGTATTTTCATTATTGGTGCCTAATGAGACTGTAGTTCCAAATGGATTACATTATCGTGAAAGCAGTATTGTAAAGCATATCCTAAATGACATTTTTCCTGTAATGGTAGAAAGCTTCATGTGAGAGTGTCATCACAGAGCTATGTGACAGGAATTTCTCAAAGCACACAACTATTGCTGTTACACCATGTTCAGCCAAACAAGAAACTAAGTGCAAGTTCTGGCCCAAGCAGTACCTCTGCCCTCAGCAGAAAAGCACAATGACATCTTAAAGCCTAACAAAATATCCCTGCTGCTCAAGGAGCAAGCTCACAACACAGACATGACTAAGCAACCAGAACTATGTCCTTTCAAGCTGATTAATCCATTTTGGAGATGAGGAGCCCTGACAAACTAGTACCCCTGGCAAGAGAACAGTCACCAAGCCACAGAACAGCAATGAGCATGAGGAGCTGTCTCCGTGCTCGGCTGTGTCAACTACACAAGTGCAGTGAGCCAGTTAGTAACAAGCTCAGATGTGGGAAAGTGAGCTGGAAACTGAAGTTAAACCATTTGGCACTTCCATGTAGTGCAGAAAGGCAGTAATGTAAAGGAAACTGGCAACTGTAGATGAAACAGTGGTCTGAGACTTAAAGTAGATGATGATTCAATCACTCAGATTAATAACCACACAGAGCAGAAACTTACCAGGAACTTATCATCAGAGAAACACCCAGCACTGAGAAAATCTAAACTGCTTCAGACTCATGGCACTTGAAACAAACCTAATTCTGCACTTGAACTTGTCAAAATAATTCAAAAAATTACAGCCGTACCCTGAAATGTGATTTCATGATATGAGATGATGGCAATCCAAACTCCTCGTCACAAGAAGTTGTCCTTAAAGAAAAAACAAGTAATTATAGACACACGCTGCATGGTAAGCACTTACAAGACCTCCTGTGCACTGCACACTGTGCACCACCACACATGTATCTCTTAAAAATAAAGGTAATCATCCTTTCTTAAAATCCAAAAATAAATGTCATGAATTCCAATAATTTGCTATTAATTCTCAAAATAAATCTTCTCTAAGACACTGTAGTCACCTAATGCATATTTACACACATAGTACTTTAAATCCTTTTACTCCCTAATTAAATGCCAAATACTCAACCATTCCAAGCCTCCCTCTCCTGTTTAACAATCCTCCCTGCTCAAGTTTTCTGAATCTATGTTTATAAGGCAAATACATGAAAAATGTAACTCAGCAGTACTACAGGGCAGCCTCCTTTATCTCCAGATAAGAGGGCGTACACAGTTTACTTTCTGCAGAAGTGAATTTCAGCTCTCCTCTTGCCGCTCCTCCTCCCTCCCCTCAGCCAAAGACTACCCCTTCCTCTTCCAGACCCACTTCCCACACACTGTAGAAAATCCTCCTCCCTGCGAAGCGGTGACCTCATGCAGTTCGCCCACCTCCTTGTAAGGCGTAGCGCAGGCCAGCTGCCAGCCCATGGCCAACAGGACGGCCCACCTCCCCTTGCAGCAGGCAGGAAGTGGGGTCTCTGCGCAGGCACAGCACAGGCCACGGGAAGCCTGCCTGGGGCTGGATCCTAGAACCAGCCTGCCTGTTGTCAGCAAACTCTCCTGCGTGCTTTGTGAAGCACTAACACAGGCACAGAACGCCTTCAGCAAGAGAAATAAAACTCTAGCTCCTGCTGACATGCAGCTCACAGTCACATGCTCTTGCTTCCCTGTGCTCAGTCTCCTCCATACAGTGAAGCACATGTGAACTTGTCATCCTCCTAAGGGAGGCCCACTTTTCCTTCTCATCACCCTGCCTTAGAATCCTCCCATCCCCTACTCCAGCCTGCGCTCACAGTCAAGTGACAGAGAGATTTCAGATGTGCTTAACACAGGAGTTCAAACGCCAACTGAAGGAGAACGTTCCTGAGAGATTCAGTAATGAATGAAGTTATGCTCGTGAGAAAGCAAGGAGGCTCAGGCTGCCTGGAGAAGCTGTGGTTGTCCCATCCCTGGAGCGGTTCAAGGTCAGGCTGGATAGCGCCTGATTGAGAGGGTAGCAATCCTGCCTGCATCACAGATGCTGAAATTAGACAATCCTTGAGGTCCCTTCTAACCCAAATCACTCTATGATTCTGAAGATCTTGGTGATAATTAAATCATAAAATCATAGAATCATTAAGGTCAGAAAACACCTCTATGACCATCTAGTCCACTGTCAACTCATGCCCTTCAGTGTCACACGCATCTGTTTCCTGAACACCTCCAGAGACAGCCACTACACCATCTCCCAGGGCAGCCTGATCCAATGCACTACTGCTCATTCTGAGAGATTTTTCTAATATCCAATCTGAATCTCCCCTGATGCAACTGAAGGCCTTACCAAGCTTTTGGTCAGTCAGAAAGGAACCTTGCACATATAGGGCTTCTTATATATCTTTCCCTTATTCTCCTTATTTCTTATACCTTTCCCTTCTAAGAAGTACCACCAACGCTCAGCTCCTCTGGGATAACAGTGCACAACTGGACATCCTCAAGTTGCAGCACCACTGACAGCTTGCCGTAATAGATCAAAACTGAACTAGTTAAAGGGGGAAACAGGTACCATAACTCATCCCATAATAGGTGTATCAGCAGCAATTTGTTTCGACTGCAGACAGATTTCAAGTATCAACTTCCCACCTCCTCGCACCTTCCAAAGACCCGCACACACAGCTCACCACGTCAGAGATCTCTGTAGGACCCGTGTCTGACCTTGTCAGTACACTTATAATAACACCCATTAAGTTTTTTTGGTCTTGAAAATCAAGAGTTTCAGATGTGGCCCATACTTCAATTAGTTCAAAGATACTGAAAACAAGGTAAGGCAGAGCATCAGAGTTATTCTGAGGAAGTTTGTTAAAGAGCGTGGGAAAGTTATGTCACATCACTGGGAGGTTCCACTTCCTTTTTCTCCTGTTAGGAGAACAGAAAACGGGTTGTCGAAAAGAGCAACAAACCCAGAAATGTCCACATTAACGAGTAGTTCACTGGAAAAGAAGCATTCCTGCATGGAAAAGAACAGGTAATGCCATTCTGCTCGCTTCATCTTCATGCACCAAACCCGTGAGCTTGTCATGCCCCCCAAGACACCAAGCCCAGGAGCTCACACGGTGCCCCTGCCCGGACCGGATCCTGAAAACATCACACGCACACTGCGGCCCTAAGAAGCGCCTGCTGCGCCCTCGAAACCGAACCTGCAAGGAGTTCAGAAGTCCCCAACCCTCAAGGCACTGCCGGAGGGGAGCAAGGAGCGGTGGGACGGATGCGGCGCTCGCGGGGCAGACACACGGCAGAGCGGCAGCCGCCGACCCTCGGCTCGCGACAGTGCCGCCGCCGGGCGCTGCCCTCTTCCTGTCCGCTCCGCCGAGCTCGGACCCCCGGCCCCGGCAGCAGTCCCTAGGGCGGGGGCGGGGACGGCGCCCGCCGCGCCTCCAGCCTCGCGGGGCGGAGCCGCCGCCGCCGCCGTGCGGGTTGGAACCGGAGCCGCCGCCCCGCGCCGGGCCGGGGGAGGCGGCAGGATGCCGCCACAGCCCCCTGGGGAGGGAAGCGCGAGCGGCGTCCGCCCCGCCCCGCCCGCAGGTGAAGCCCCGCGCCCGGCCGGCCTCGGCCTGGCCTACCCGCTCCCCGTCCCCCCGCCCCGCGGCACGGCCGGGCCAGACCGGGCGTGGGGAGGGCAGTCGCCTCCCGGGGGCCCGGTGCTGCTGGCGGGGCGCGGGCACCAGCGGCGGCGGCGCGCACGGCACCCACCTACCTGACAAGCCGAGCCCCTCCGCCACGGCGGGCGTCACAACCCCTCCGGTACCACGTGACGGACGGCGGCGAATCAGCTCCCGGCTGTCTTCTCCCGCTCAGCCACTCCTGGCGCTCTCCGCCCCCGGGTGACGCTCAGTGGCTAGCGGCCAATCGGCGAGGGAACAGGCGACACAGCTGCCGCCCCTTGGCTCACAGAGCGACTCGATTGGCGGAAGGCGGGGAGGGGCGGGACTAGAGCGGCGTCAAGGGCTGGGGGGGGGTGGATGGGTTTCCCCCATGGTGCGGGGGTTGTGCTGCGGGTACGCCCCTAACCTGACCTGGATGGCGCCGGTAGCGGGTGAGGTTCGACGGAAAAAGTCCTGAACGTCCTAGGGAGCGAGGCATCTTGAGAAGTGCCTGCTGAAATAGTGTGAATAAAGAGATAAATCATACAACAGCGCTGAAAAATCGTGCTCCACAATCTCAGAAAATAAGTACGTCTTCTTAGGAGCATCACGCGCTCATAATGCCCATATTGCCACACAGAAAACACAGCTGAGAGTGAGGTAGGCGGCTAGGTTCAGGCGTTAGTAGCTGGAGCAGAATATTTGCATAATTGCAGCACTGAGCTGCAGGTACAGAGGGTTTCAAGCCTTTAGACAGCTGGTGGGTTTTTTAATAGTAAATCATAGATAAGAATGCCATGGGAATGTGGCAAATTGTGAGGAGATAACTGACAAGCTGACCAGGCAGCACCAAGGGAAAACAAAACAGAGTTACGTGCTGTGGTGTTATTACTGTGACACTAACTTAAGAGGTTTGGGAAAACTTTATGAATAGTGAAGTTTTCAATCTTCTCTGTTTTGACAGCAGTGGCCTGGAAAACAGGACGTGGGCAGAGCAAACACATTCCAAACCAAGGCTTCCTGAGCTAGAATTTGTTTTTAGGCCAGCGTGTATGAAAAACATTGGTGGTTTAAGATGTGTTTTACCTGCAGGTACTTTACTACTGTGTAATATTTTGGATTAAAAAAAAAAAAAAAATTGAAATAATCAATGATTTTATGAAAAGTGCAGGTATCAACAGCCTTACTCAGTCTGATTTCAGCTGTGTCCTATTGTACTGGGCAGATAGCTTCAGTCAAGCTTCTTAAAGGGTCAAAGAAGACTTATTATGATTATGTCTGTTGTTTGGTAAATTAACTCTCCCGGAGAGCCCAGAAACAGATGAAAACTGGTACACGTGTATTAGGGTAAAACAAAAACAAACAAACAAAAAAAAAACAACAAAAGAAACCTTTTCTTTTAATGTTCTGCTTAGAATTTTTAGAATTAGAATTACTGAAGGGCTGTCTCAGCTTTTTGAGGAAGAAAGGATTATTGGTTTCTTTTTGTGGTAAGTTTAAATTTCCAAACCTTTCATACGTTTATTAAATAAATACAAAAGAAATATAGGCCTGTACTATAGTCAGTGCAGTGTAGTGCAGACATATGCAAGCTTGTTTGAAATTCAAATTGTTCATTTTATTTAGAAATTGCAACCGATAACTGAATGTGGAAAGCATTAGAAGTACATTAGCACTGCAATTTTTAGCCAGAATTGACAGCTTTATTTCTACCAGACTGAAGATATAGTCCTCTGTTTTCACCACCCCGGACATCTTCTCCACTCAGCACAATGCATCATCTCTTCTGCCCCTCTCAGGAAGCAGAGGAACCAAGTTCTGCAAGTATCCAAAGGTGAAAAAGAGGATCAGGGAAATGAAAGGTCTTGCTTCAGCCCATTCACTCAAAATTCCCAAATATACTGTCTTCTAGCCTCCCCACTTTGCTCCTACTCAAGTTAAATCCATAGTTTTATGCTGAAGTAAATCTGGTCAATGTTACTCCTTGAATCTGCTATGGACAGTGGTAGCACAGAAGCATGGCTTCAGACCTGGCTGCAAAATATAGAAAGCACTAGAGGAGCTCAGTGAGTTCCTGGACAAATGCTGAGGTCTGTGGAACAGCACCTCAACACCTACCAAGGCAGAGTTCTTCCTGGTCAAACTGTCCGGAGCAATAGTATTTGTCAAGGAGAATATCGTGAAGAACTCGGTGTAGTACCTTGGTTCTGTCTCCACCTCTCACATTATTTATCCTCTGTGAACTCATGCTTTAATTTCTGCTAGCTTCCTAATTACCAGATGATTTTCAGTCATTGTGACACTAGAATAGATCTAGTCCTTCTAGAGTTATCATGACCCTAGAAATCCCAAGGAGTTTGCTTCCTAAGTAGTAGAAGTTTTGTTCTACTCAGTCAAGCTCTAGGTTTCAGTAGTTGTTTTCTTTTTGTATTTTTGTCTGTTTGTTTGTTTTCTGCAGTCTTCTGGTATGTTGCCAGCCCGTAATTCAGTCAGCACATTTTCATAATTTTGAAAGCTTCCTCTCTACCTTTATCTAATTTCTTTGTTTATCGCTCATTGCCTAAACTTCCTGAATGCTACATGCAAGTTGTCTGGTTTATACTGCTGATACTGATACTGAAAAACCTTAAAGTTAGTCTTAGGAGACAGATACTGTAGTGTTATATTACTTCAAGAATGACAGCAGCTTCAAATTATATTACATGCCTGGAAGGGATATAAAAATGTAGGAAACAGAGAGAGAGGGAAAGTTCTTCATTATCACTCCTTCAAGATGCTAAATTAATGTGGAAGTCACTGCAAAATTCAACATCAAAAATTCTCATGGATATACTTCAGAATTCTATTATACACAAGTTAGTAATACAGATAAGTAGTTATAGAGGTAGAATAAAATATTGCAAAGAGACATCAGTGAGGGATAAAAATAGAAAAAATCTCTGGCAATCTCAAGTTTTCGGCCAACAAGATTCCTTAATCCCCAAAAACTGCACATTAATTATTTCCTGTTAAGTTACATTTGCTGTGGCTCCTTGATGAGTTGGGCATGAATGAGTATATTTTTCAGTATTATTCTACATCTTGGGGGGAGGGGGAAGGAAAAAAAAAAAAAAGGATTTACTATTTTACTTATTCTCTATGTATTTATTATTACCATTAATATTATTATATCAGAATATTATAGATGGATTTTAATAACTGCACACACTGTGGAAAGGGACTGGAGCTTTTGTGTTAGATATAGAGTACTCTTACTACCACTATTATGAAAATGCATGAAATTTACTTTCTATTGTATAACTAGAGAATAACATCATAAAACCTAGGCATGTTAAAGCAATAAAATGAAGACCAAGTGAGCGCAGAGCGGAGCAAACAGATGAACTTCTTCTTTTCACTTCTGCCATAGGCATTCTACTCGAACAAACCTCTCTCTCTTCCTCAGTATTTCTATCTATAAATAGTAACTTTAATACTTTCCTTGAGGGATGTTAGAAGGCATAGCTTATCAATATTTATAAAGCATCTTCAAATTGTTGTATGGAGAAGGTAAAGAAATGCAAGCAGTAATATGCAGAATAAGTATATCTGAATTATTTCTATCACTGGTCATGCAAGTTTGATTTTCATATTCTTTTTAAAGATTTTCATGATTACTTGATATTTTTCTGTTCTCTACCCTTCTTTTTCTCCTACCCCCATTTTGTGCTTCATATTTTGAATTTCAATGTCTGTTGCTATGACAACACCACGATCTGAATAGTGCTGCCTTCAGACCCTTTTCAAGTCTGTGCTGTGTTATTTAAAACCACACATTTTGTGTTTAATGTGCCTGGAGATTTCCTCAGAGTAACCTGACAGGGTTTTCCCAGTTTTAAACCCTAGTAACTACTATTTATTGTTCTCCTGTGCATCTACAGATTACCTTGAATAATTGCCTCCCTTGGGCATGGTGTCTAAATAGAAGACAGTGGGGTTTGCAGAAGAAAACATCTGTCATTTATATGTGAGATACCTTTCCATATATGTGTGTTTACATATGCAGGCAAGCAGGCGTACAGACACACACAATTTATTAGTTGTAATAGTTATGTGAAAGATGGACTCTGCAAAAAAAACATCTTTGAGAGAATTCAGACTTTCAGTTTACTCGCACCAGAAAAAAATAGATGCAAGCATGTTCTTTTTAATTTCAAAGACAATAAGAAAAACTGAGCAGTCAAAAGGGAAGATTACCAATGATTTGAGAAAATTGAAGGCATGATTCACTCTTATAAAGAGCTAGTGATTCTTGATAATACTTGAATAGAAAACAAGCACGTAATGGAGAGCCAGGCATAATCTGTTGCTAAGGACAAGCATTCAAATCTCCAATTTCCTAAAGGTGTTTAAATTCCTGATAAATGTATGGATGTTATCATTAATTAGAGTCATATGCTGCAACCTAAAAGGTAGTCACAGATATGCTGCTCGATACCCAGAACAGAGCTGTAGTCTGAATCTGGGGTGTAAATGATGCACTGCACCGGTTAGTGATGTGGGAGGGAACCAAAGTGGTCAGAAGCTCATGGATACAGTCCTGTGCACTTAGGCCAATTTAAAAAGTCACTTACAAAGCTTATGTAAAGTCATTACAGACACTGGACCCCTATTCTTAATAGGCAAGCCCCTGTTTGTTGTGTACATCAGGTGGCATCGTGGACTGATGCACTGTTTTCTGGTTTTGTTTTCCCTCCTTTAGTTCTATGGAGCAAGAATTGCTAATCTGTAATATTCTCTTTCTGAAAAAAAAAAATGTTTGATCTGCTCTGAAGAATTATTTCAAGTTCCCCTTCACTTCCTGACTTAAAAGCTGTTCATTACTATTAAGCTTGGGGAATAATGATAATGTCTCAGCTAAATGTCTCACCTAGAAAGTCATGGGATGTTTATTGTGCTTCCTAGTTATATGGACCAGAGAAAGGTGTGGATATTTATTATTCATGTGGTCCAAAAACCACCTGGTCAATACAAAATAAAAGCACTGAGAGTTTTCTGCTGATCTTATCTCTCAGAATGTAGATTCATGATGTGAAGTCTGCAGGTAGAATAACTTAGATCAGTCTTACACCTTCTACGAAAACTTCCACCACCAGGTGTTCTTCTCTTTACTCCCCATTGTGCTGTTCCATCACTTCTGCCCAGAGACATTCAGAAGTTTATGCAACAGTTCTGTGAAGCAGATAAAGGAAATGACCCAGCTTGAAAAAAAGAGTCTGCTATCCTTCTAAATAGATTCTACATACATAAATTTTTATATTTGGTCACTG